TAATAAAGTACGTGGGCTACGAAATGTGTATTTTCTTATTATTTCCTATTTTGGGCAGTTTTTATCGCGCACCTGTTCTCTGCGCACCTATTTGCAAAGGTTTGGAGCGTGCGGGTGATGATTTGAACACAGAACAAGCATCTTCGCATGCATTCATGAACAGAAAGAATAAAGCAGTACTTATTTATTGCAAAGCTGACTATATTACGTGACTTTCAATTTATTTTGATCGTCTGCAAGCACAAGGAGTTACTTACCCCGTGTTACTGCTTAGTTCTTGCCGTCTCTCTTGGTTTTCCACATGTCCTTCGTTCGTTTGGCACGGGTCCATATCACATGAGCGAATGACGTTTTAGCGAACAGCGACATTTGAGCGAATCGACGTTTTAGCGAATAACGGGGCGCGCGTTAACCCATGCGCCGCTCTGCGCTTTCGCCGCTTCGCGGCGACAGTCTGCGGTGGCTCATTAAAAAAATGTGAACCCATTTGGCCCACCCGAAAACGACGCTTCGCGGCGTCCGACTATTCGCTAAAGTGTCATTCGGTGAAACGTGGGCGTTCGCTAAAACGTCATTCGATCAAGTGAGTGCCTCCGGTTTGGCACATATACCCCCATGCTGGAAAGCGCCGGCGCCGTGTTCGCGCTAACAGTGTCCAACAGTGCACATAAATACATGTACGAAACGGTTTCGGCACCGTTTTTTATGCCACGATTTTAAAATAAAAACGCCGTAACTGACTAATTATTTCATCTGCGTGTCTGGGAAATGTTCTAATGTGCCTAGTAGGTACGAATTGTTTGTGATATTTGCTTTTATAATCGAGATCAGAGAGGAAATGCACTTGCTTTTTCCCATAGAAATACATTACCAAAAGTCAATTTCGGACTGCTTGCTGTCTGCTTCAATTTGCAACAGCACACTAGCGCCAGTTGAGCCTCTAGCGTACATTATAATAACTCTATGGCTGGACGTCGAATTCAAGTTTTGGGGTGTATTATCCGGGACAAAGGGTGTAAGAATACGCGCTTTTACACCCTTTTTTCTTGAGAGTGTATGCTTAGATAATAATCCCGGAGGCAATTTATCATGACAAAATAAATAAAAGAAAAAACAAACAAACCGACAAATCACGTGACTTCCGATTCAAAAAGAAATATATCCATTAAAGTTTTGGTTGTAGGGATGCAGGTGCGGAATGACGGCACGGAGTAGCTTCAGTTGTCTCGCCTACAGCACGAGCTTCCGACCAGTGACGACGCTTTAGCGACTCGTGAACTCGAAAGCGCGTGCGCTGCCAAAGCACGGTGGAAGGCACAAAGCGTTTGCTGGCGGTTGGGCGTTTGAAGACACTCCCTCTTAGTCTCATTCTGTCAGCGAGCACAATTGACAGCGTTCTTAAAGGGATTGTCCGGTAAAATTTTGTAGTCTAGAAAACAATCGAATATCATTGTTATTGCCTCGAGACGCATCGTACGCGCAATATCTGAATTTTATATGCACCTCTGCGTGAGTAATTGAATTTATACTGCAACAATCGCATTCTAGCGCAAACGCGGCTTTCGTTGGCGACATTGAAGCTCTGACGTCACAAAACACAAAGTGAGCATTTTTTTCTCGTCGTACGCCTGCGAGTGAACGCCTCAGCGTGCTTCGTTTTTGTTGTTTTGCTCGACTTCTTTCGTGGTTGGGTGCCACAACCACCGGGCAGCACATGCGAGCCCAGACATGACGTTCCACACTTTTCCGCGATACGTGCAGTGACGAGCAAAGTGGATCGTCGTCGTGCGTAGGGACTGGGTTCCCGCCAAGATCGAGATCCTGCTTATGCAGCAATCATCGCACAGAAGAAAGCTATGAGCTGAGCTCTCAGCGGACAGAAGGCTTGTAAGGTGAGGTGTGATGCTGTGCCAACGGTATTGAACTACGTCCACCCACTCCTCGCCCAAATCGGGCCAGTCAATTTAGGTCCGTTCGATTCGCCTGAACTGGCTGAACCAGTTCAGCAGTGCAAGAACTGGTGCATTCGATTCAACCGGGAGTTGCACGACCGCTGCACTGGCGCCTTCTATTCATCCCAGTTCTGAACGAGTTCAGACGCAGTTCCTCAAAATCTGGCACCGGTGTTCGGCTCCGGACTCAGTTCAACGTCCGTGCAGAAGCAGACGACAAGAGCAGACGGCGATAGCAGACGATACTCCTCGTCCGCCTCTGCTCGCGGTACCATTTTTCGCAGCTCTCAGTGCTCAAATGGCTGCAATGTTTAACAATAACGCCGATACGGAGGTTGCGTTTCCTCTCATTTATGATAATAACGTACCCGCAGTAGATGCGGAATCGAGATCATAACCGAGGGTAGGAATTTGCTTGATTATGATATTCTGAAAGCGTTTTGGGCACCTGCTCGCTTAGGTTTGGCTCCCTGTGGTGAGTGTTGAAATATTGGCTCACGTAAATTTTTTCTTTTTCATGCTATGCGGAGATCCACAGTGTTGATATTCTTACTTACAGACACAGGAAAGGTATTGCCCTCCTGATAGTCCCCGCCTTCAGTTGCTCTTGGATGCATATTGACGATCCGATACATTTCAGAGGTCTGGAATTTAGGGCGTTGACACTCGCATGTCCCTGTAGCTGAGCATGATACTGCATGCTTTGTCCGCTGGTATCTGTGGACGCCCACTAACGGGCCTGGGAAAAACACCGAGAATCGGCATTTTTGTCGATTCTCGCTTCAACTTGACTCCAAAGTTTCGGTCGATAACTGTCTTGGCCAAGACGCTACCGTCAGGCCTTCCTCTTCGAGGTGACCGGCATACCGACCGCGCGCTGCCGCCAGCGACTCCCGACGTAAAATCATCCTGATGCCGCGAACCTATCGTCGAAATGCAAAGATTCCCTTTGAGGTGCTTTTGCCGCTACCAGAACTTCCTGGCCGAATCGAACAGACCCTGATTATGCAGCGAAACCGAAACCAACAGCTAGGCCATCTCGAAATGATACCAGAACTTGTATCTAGCACGCGTGCAGCCCGATATCTGTTTGACCCGCGTGTGAAAATGGAGCGTGACTACGACTCACCAAGCTCGTCCAAGTGACGACGTACATTTGAACGGTTCGGCGTTTGCCCTCGGCCCGCGGACATCGCCTCTGAGGGAACGACCCGCAGCCTCATCACCGATCCAGTGGATCCGCCGAAATATGTTCTAGATGCCGCTCCGTGTACCTAGCTGTGCCACTTCAGAGGCGAAATCTGCATCCTTTGCTTTGCAAGCGCCCCTAGTTCGATCGGCGTCCGTCGCAGTTGTGTTTGCGCGAAACAGCATACGTTCGCTCGAAGCCTATGGCTGTCTGCGAGTAATATCCTGCTAAAAGGCGGGACTTTTTCTGAACGTGCTTGGGAACCGCATTAAAAGAACCGTATTTCAGTAGGGTACTGCCTAGGAGACTATATAATTCGAAACAAAATACAAGGCACCCGTCGACCAACGCTTGTTATCCCCACCATCCGACAAACCTTTGCGTTTTGTGACGTCACGCAGCACCCACGGATGTCAGCCATTGACACTGGCGAAATTCGTGGTGCAGTTTCGTACATAGGCTCATGAAAGGTTTAATTAATAACGGGAGATCATATACTAAAATAAAAATGACGTTTGTCTGTATGAAGGCTCCCTCGATGTAACGAGCGCAACAACTTAAGTACTTCCGGTTTCGACCGGACAATCCCTTTAAAGGGCCCCTGCAATCATATTTGAGCATGTACCTTTTTTGCGGTTTCCACGTCTCTTGGGGTTCGGGCAAGCCAGCGGGCATGGAGAGAGTAACTAAATATCAGTGCGTCATATTTTAACCGGACAACGCGGAAACCTCCTCCACCGACGAGGGCGAATCGCGGTACTGAAAGGGCGCAAAATGTGACGTCTTTAGTCGTGGGCTTACTACTGGTCGGAACTGCTAAAAGCTTTTTTAAGTCGAAATAGAATGTATACGTGGCGCGAACCGTTTCAATTAATTATAAAATTAGTTTTTGTTCAGTATATTAGATCAGAAAAGAAACGAATGCAGTTTATAAAGTACAGAAACAAGAAATGACCCGTCGACATACCCGCCACCAGGCGGTGGAAAAGGCGGCGCATACTAGAAAGGAGTAGTGGGATCAGGCGCCGACAGGGAAGGGTCCCGGATGTACGTGGCGGCGCTGCGGTCGTATGGACAGGAGGATCCGACCGGCTCCGAGCGTTCCGAAGGCCTTCGGCGAGAAGCTTTGTTTTGCGGTTTGGCCGTTTCGCGGTATGGTAGCGCAAAGTGGCTCCCATTCCGAACTGATATTTACCCCGTGTTTGCTGTCGTTTTGTGGCCAATGAAGTACCATGCCGGGTTAGTGTTTAATCGTGCAGCAAATGCAATGAGAGCCGCTCTGGCAGCCCGCTGCATGCAGCCTATCTAGACCATGCTTTAGTGGCGCCCTTTTGCGCCGTCAACAGGGAGTGTGGCAGGCGTGAGCGCTCGATGAGCTCACTACCCCTCCACTAGTTCGCGACCACTCAAGCAACCAAGGACGTCATAAGGGAAGTTATTTTTTACTTGTTTTGGTAATTTTAATTTGCCTATAACGTTTAAAATAAAAGGAATTTTGAGAAAAGAAAAGTTTCACTAAGTTACTACGTTCAGTGCGCACAGGTTCGGTGCAAATTAAAAACCAATAAAGAAGTCTTTGCGGGGCCCCTTTAATAGCTGTCGCTAGAAAATGTTGCATTCGGAGTGTTTCCAGTACCGGGAGTGCAGGCACCGCGAGTGCCTGCACTCCTTGGGCTGCCAGATATTTTTTTAGGGCCGTTCAGCGCCCGCGAACAGTTACGTAATATATTGAGATTGACTGCGGAGATTTTGAATCGGAATGTTTTTAAATGCCTCCAGAACGAATATCGTTTTTTTTTTCATACTTGCCTTATTGTAACTTAATTGTGCATATGGTACTAATAAATGCTTGTCCTCACCATGCATACAGATCCAAAGTCGTGCATAGCGCAAACGATGTTTCCATGAAGGGACGTGTCGTTATACAGCTTATCGCATTCTTCATTTGGGATTAACTGAACTCGGGCTTCTTGGAGCATATCCGGAATTGCATTTTTTGCCGGGTACCCTGGCGTCGCATCATCGTACTCGTAAGAATACTCTGTTGTCTCTGAAATATAAAATCACATGGAGGCCGAACGATTAAGATGACCATAATACATTCTTTGTAATTCAAACTGAATTTAGGATTTGTGAAAAAATTTCTAAATAAGCACAATCTTGCTCGTGTGATCTTTATGATTTCAGTAGAATTTCATAAAAAAATTAAAAAGTGCGAGGACGTTTTTAATGCGAAATTGAGCTTAGTATAGCTGTATTTTCTCTCCAGCTGAAATAGTTTAACGTTTATGGTATGAGGGAATCTTAACGATATTAATTCCCTGGAGGAGGAAAGCAAGTAGGACAATGGGCATACATAAATCTCCAAACACAGCTAAGGGACTTGTACGCGGCTAAAATATTCACCTGGTCATGGTTTGAAGAGCGCTGCACTGGAATTGGAGACGTGCCTGGTTCGATACAAGGGCAAAGGGAATGTTTGCAGTCGTGCACCAGTAGCTGTGTTTGGAGAATTGTGTTTTTTTAGGAATTATAATCGTTATTCTTGTCCAGCTCGCTTGCGCCTTTGCATTATTTACATTATCATCAAAAATAATTTTTTTTAGTTATTTTAGAGAGCATACTTCTTGGACGTCGCTGAAAACAAGGTGCGCGGGTTTAAATTCCTGGAAATTAAATGATGAGATGATGTGAGTTGCAATGCTGGAACAGACTTCGCAACGTGTTGAAGGCGAGTTTAGCCATTACAGCCGCGCTTTTGAGTTTTCAAATTAAAGTTGTACTAGTGAGCTATACTGTTAGTATTATATTGCTTCAGGCAGTGTATCCCTATATCTACAGGTATTTGCTAGCACCAAGAATATCGCGGAATCAGACTCGTATTGATACTAAAAATGCCAGTATAGGGAGAGTGGAATAGCTAGTGAAGATAAAATTATAAGCGTATTAGATGTTTGAAGCGTTTATGTCCCAGAAGCATTGATCCAAATGGATACGGGAGCCTAAGCTGTTAGGCGCTTTTATAGCAAGCTAATATACCGCAGCAATATTCTTAAGCGGACACTGACACCCCAAAGGTCGTATTTTTTGTTGTTGTTGTTTGAAACGATAAAACTTGTAGCCATAGGCAAAAAAAAAAAAAAATACCACAACGCAAAAAAAAAAAAAAAAATCCACAAGCGCGCGTTTTTTTTGCCGCCTTTTCTCGTTCTTTTTTCAGCTCCTCGTAGCTTCTTATTTGTTACGCCAAAAAATATGACATTTAGAAGCTTCGTAAGCGACACGTCGTCCTGTCTATTTTCTGTCCCTTCTACGCTTTGAGGCTTCTTCTCTACCCCAGTCTCAGGTTATCTCAACATGGTCAATATTCACCAGCTTGCCTGCACCCTTACGATTTTTTCTTAATAACGACATTCGCAAAACATGTTTTCTAAAGCAATCGCGACCGCAATACGGCCCTTGTTTTTGCAATACCGAAAATTGGATCCCGGAGTAACGTCGACTCCTGGCTTTTTATCCTCCCTCGGAAAACATGGCGGCGCTGGCGGCGCACGGCAGATATAGCAGTGAGGATGATCGGTGAGAAGCGAATCGGACGAAGTTCCCTTTTTTAGGTGCCCTATGACCTCTCAGACTTTGAAAAGGAAATCGTCAAACGGTCAAAACAACTAGTTTTGGTATCTGTTTACTCTAGTTTCGGTTGTGACTTCGCCGGGGTGGCATTACACGCCAATCCGGTGCAACGTGGCCCCTCACGTTGCTGACAAAAGTCCACTGCGCGTCCTCTTCGACCTCACACCGTTTCAAAGAAATTGAGATCGCTGAAATGGCCCTAAAATAACTTCAAACTCAAAAGTAAAGCGTCGGCTGCTTAAAGCAGCAGGCGGCGGTCACGGAGAAGAGCGTTTGATGGCGGGACGCGGGCTAATACGACAATTTGGGTCGGGATGGTTTTGAGGCGTGAGAGAAACTCGAGGTGCAGGACGACTCAATCTTTGACGTCGCTGCACTGGCTCGGATTGCGCGGGAACTTCAAATTGGGGTTTGGGCAATTGTTTTTTTTTTTTTACTTCGCAAACACTAAGTTCCCAAGTATCCAAATTTGAGGATAATGTCAAGGCATTGTTTTTAATCGTTTCGGATTATAAAGAAAATACTATTTTGACCTGTTAGTGCCCCTTTAAGCACATCTGAGTGCATGAGTATACCCCACCTTCAGTTACTTCTTGTGTATTCATTTCGGAGTTCGAGTTTACTGTCGTCGAGTCTTCTTCGACATCAAACCGGTACTCATCTTCAGACCAAGACTGGTTATTCCACATGACCGCTGCAAAAAGTAAAAAAAGAAAAGAAGAGAGATTGATTAATGTAGCTGTATTCTGTAGGTGCTAGTATTTAGGAGTGCATTAACATCATATGATTACAGCAAACTGTTGCGAGTGTAGCCCCAGGTAATACATACGTATAATTATAAACTATAATATTAATCGAATTCATCAAGGCATTCGAAAAACAGTGTGCCGTGGACGTATACAGAGCGAAGACGATTTTATAGGTGTTTAGCACCATACATCTCACTTGCTATCTTGAGGTTTGATACACACGGTGAGGACATTAGAACGCACAATATAACGACAATGTATTTATGCATTTTTTGAACCAATACACACGTTTTTTGTAACAGTTTTGCAAATTTGGTTCTTTCATCGCGGCGTTGGCCAGTGTGGAGTGTCACGAATAAAAGTTATTGAGAGCAGCAAGCGAGAGATCACTTTTGTTATGAACTTAATGCCTTCCCATCAAAACTGCTCTTCACAATGTCATGCTAATTTTACCAGTGAGCAACAAACTCTTAAAATTACGTGTTGTTTGTTTTGTTGATATTTTATAAAAGAGGATAATTTCTACGCGATTCACGCGCATGCCGAAATCATTCTCCCAAATTAACTGCCTTGCGCTTTCTGATAAAATACAGTGTTTTTATTTATCTGCTTATTTGAATAACAAAACCATAAATTACTTTGACAGGAATTCAGTTGCCTCAACTTTGATTTGCTGCAAAAATCTGATTTTGTTTTTGGACACTAAGGCAGCTGACGCGAACACGTCATATATACTAAATCTATAGTCGGGTATAATTCCTAAAACGATCTTTCAAACTGTAGTTTCTTACGAACTTTGCGAACGACGAAAACGGCCTTCTTTTGTGCGCCATTTTGCCTGACCAAGGCGCCCCCTATAGTTCTCTCGAATCCGAATACTGCAGCGCCGCAACGCATCATCACAGGAGTCGTTAAAATATATTAGAATTTCGCAAAAAATGCCTTTGGCACGAAGACACGAAAACAGAAGCATGAATAAACTCGAGTATCAGGGAAAGGCAAACCGTATGTTATCTCGCAACACATAGGAAAGCGAGTACTATTTGCGTGCGTTTAACAGGTAAAGCAAACACATTATTACAAATTATTGACGCTATGCTACTGTGTATCCGATTTCATTCTTGAACTATTGGTGGAATGAAGGATTATTTGAATCATCGATCACGTACAACGTTCACATTTTTAACTTTGCAATCTTGATCGGACATTTGCGAAATAATGTATGATTATACTCCGTCTCATCCTACGGTGGACTAAAGCCCAGTGCTACATGCCGCCGAGTCTAACGTCGAGCCTGGTTAAAGGCACGTGGTATATTTCCTCCGTCGTACGCATCAGTGCGCCAAGACGCCTCAAGCGGAGGCAAGTTTATCGTCTGCTTATCGAGCCCAAGCGGTGGCTCTGTTTGTTTACTACTACTGAAGACTACTGAAGGGACTAAATACCATGCTGGATGGGATGTGGCCAAGAAAACCCGAGATCAGAAAAAGTGGCCATTAAGAAATGAAGATGAGTCGGATCGAGTGTTCGACACGGGCGCGCATGTACGGACAACGTGCGGAAGCTAGATACGGTTCCGGGTACGTACAGAAAGATTGGATTGGCTAATCGACTTTATGTCAGTGTCGCCTGCGCACCCTCCAACTTGTCCAAACAGTTTACATGTTTACGAAATATTGCATGAATGTTTAAAGACTGAATAGCGTGTACCTTTACTTCACCAACATAAAATTCCGCCCTATCACAACAGAGAACCATTTGCGAAAAATTAGTGCTCCTCGTACTCTGCGCATCCAAATTTCTCCCGCGCACACTTTTGCAATACGGATGGGCGCTTTTCTGGGGTAGTGCTTCGCCCGACGGCCTTCGGGCCCTAGTTCACTGTAGGGTGAGACGGAGTATAGTACCGAATCTACACTTATTGATTTTTGTTTTGTTTGAGTGCATGTTATACCGCAACATTAACCAAAGGCAGTTTTGACAAAAATACCCTGGCCTAAGTGAAAGTTGCTGATGTTCTCGTAGTAGCCTATATAAAAAAAAAAAAAAATTGTGAAGCTTTTCTGAGCAGGTGCGTTCCGTAAAAAAGACTTTCAGTGTAGTATTCGCCAAAGGACCACACTTGGTACTACAAGTTCAATATTTATATTTTAAGGGGAAAGAGGTACATGGTGGCATTCTCAAACGTCCAGCACTATTTCACAGTTTATACGTCATCTGAAAATACAATTAGGGTCATCATGTATAATGATGTATTCTGAATAAACGACAATATTTCAGTAAACCACACAGTAATTAGCCTATAGCCGGAAGTATGAAAATACATCATTTGGGAGTTCATTAATAAGGATTAAAAACAACAGTCCCAAAAATAAAGGTTTCTGTTTTTTGTTTTCAAGAGTAAACTGGCAACCCCAGTATAAATACCTAGGGTGGCATCAACTGTTCGTAATTTTTTCCCGTTAATTATAACTACACGCAAGCCGCTTGACTCGTGTTGACAGACAGAAAATTTTAAAATATACCTTCTGTTTTTTATGTTATTAGCCTTGGGTGTTTTGAATGACAAATTTATTAGTTACTCTTACGTTCAGTGAATCCCCATCCAGCAACATACATGGGAACGTCACAATCCGGATTGTCATTGGTGTCGGGCAGACAAACTGTTTTAATGGCTTCTGAACATTCCACAGGATTTTGCAATGTTATGATGGCAATGTCATACTGAAAAAATAAATAAAAAGGTGACGTACAGCGGTTTATTATAATTCTAAATTGAGTGAAAACGATATTATAATCTTTCAGATTAGTATCGTGCGATACTTAAAGAAAAATTGAATCGTTAACCGTGTGCATGAACTAATCTGTGACGTTCAAAATATTAGTAGCGTTAATTGATGTTTTCTGGAGGACGATAAAACATAAATATCGTGAATTTATAAATGGAATAAGATGCAGACGTTTTCCAAAATTCCTATATATCTCTAAAAATAAAGGAACCGCGTGCGATTTATGAAACAAATCTAATTTTATTTATTATCTTGTGTCGCATTTATTCAAATTCCACGAGAGAAGGGAGGAGTAAAGGATAAAAAAAATTTCGTACTTCTTAGTTTCGTATAATTGATGGCTACCAAGCACTATTTGAGTGATTGAGAAGTGTAAAGTACGAAATAAAGTTTCACACAATACATTAAAACAGTCATAACACATTGTACCTTGCAGATTTTTATCATGAAGGCAACATATTTCAGTACATACACTCATGATATTAATTGTTAGATTGTCTCTTATTTCGCGAGCTACGCAAACAAAATAAATTATTTACTTTCGGCAACAACGTGTCGTGGTACGCTAAACACCCTTCGTTGCGGAAGAAAAGAATTCTCGCCAGTAGTTAAGCTACTGATGTTAAGTTTGGCAAGCTTAGATAAGGGTCGTCAAACCATTTACCAAACTTATTTTGACAGAATATTTGTTTGAACGCTTTTGTTAAGTGCATGGATAGAATACTCGATAGGGTAATGCAATAAGTCCTCAACTCGCGTAATTAAATAAGTCTCATGTGGTTGCTTGGTAAAATATCATAATATATTCGTCATGAAAATGTTCCCATAATTTTTACCCAACGAATTAGATCGTAATATCAGATTTTATTTAACCGAAAGGGCTTTCGGCTTTCGTTGGACGGCGTGATATCCTCAAAGTATAAAGGGCGCAGTAAAACTTTGGTGGCAAATGCAATGGGGGGCCCCCCCTCACTGAAGATTCATCATAACGCTGGTTAACACCCTTGCGTTTTTATGCAACCAAATGCGTTGTGTAGACTTGCGTCCTCTTGTGACGACATAACACGCTGCCTCGTAGTCTGACGTCATCTACGAGGTGGCACAGAAACTGCATTTAACTAGAGTGAAGGTTTTGCAATATTTGCGATATCAATTGTTTCTTCTATATGTTAGGAATGGTCATTAACCACATTGTTAAACGTTTCTTAAGCCCATGGTGGAAAAAATGCACAAGAAGAGGAAGTGTACGAACATTTTAAATGGTTCAAAGTTACGCGATTGATGACGTCAGAAGGCGAGTAGCCAGGGGGTTTTCCGGCGTCAAAACACCCCCGGAAACTTTATTTTCAGCTTCCAGCGCAACCTGGTTAAGGCAGGTTGCTCATAGAACTGGCAACGTTGCCCGCTGCAGCAGAGATACGAAATGCTTTATTTAATGGAAAACCGAACTCGCTTATATAATCCTTCTCTAAATGAGGCACTCAAATGTCCATACAGGTTTCAATTATTCTGTTCTAGCCTTTTGGACATTCTTTGAGTTGTTAGAAAACTTGATTTTTTAGTCTTCCCTTTATGTGTAACAGTACAAAAGCATTTCATAACAATATATGCTGTCAGCACACTGATCATCCAGAAAGTGCATGATGTATGTAGTGTTGACGAGCAAAAATTGTAATTGAGACAAATATATAGTATATGCTGCAAGAGGCAGAACATTTAGATAATTATTTTGAAGTTTTTTTTTTGTTTTATTAAGAAATATTAACTGAGTAGTTCAATTAAATTATTCAAGCTTGATAACTATTAATTTCTATTCTCAACATCTTGGTAAGGAAACAATGTTCTTTAGAGCGTCCATGCGGTCACTTGCCTCGTGTTTGCCTTGCATATATTGAGGGTATATGCAGATGGTTTCGATTTGTTCCTTCCTTTCTTCTTTTTCTGTTTCGTTCCTTGAATAGCTGCCGATCAAAACTGTAAATGATTCCTTGGATGTGTTCCTGTAAGTTGATTATACGCGACATTACTATTTCTGTGTTTACTCTCTACTTTGAACAAACGTTATATAAACACGACCTGAGACCTAGTGCGTCCTGCTGGTTGATATTATTCACTAAACGGAGCTTCAGCACGAGTGTTTGAAGAATACTACATAGTGCTCTGCCGAAGACCCACGCGTTGCATATAGTTACACTTATTTCATACAAGTCTCCGCCGAAATCGCGGCCTCTAATTTTAAGGCATGGAATGCTCTCCAACGATACGACCTACTTTCAGACATTTGTCAGTCGGTCCTTGTAGCCACATTACTGTGTAATATATACATGGTGTTTGTTTTAAGTTTTACAGATGCGTTTAATAAAAAGCCGTGAAAGTATACTTACGCGGTTTGTGAAGGTGAGTTATACGGTCAAAGGACATATATAGGTGGATAATCGTAACAATCAGTAGGCTAATCATGTATAATTTGTTAATGAACCTTTTAATTAGTGACAATAGAGATATGTCTCCAATTAGAAACTTGCGAAGCATCATCGGATTCAGCTTTATTAACTCTTGTTCGGGCAATAAAAGACAGGTGCAGCATTTTACGGCGTTCTGAAGAAACGCTCAATTTAGATGCGTTTCTAGGTTTCGGGTTCTAATAGGAGCACATCTTTGCACAAGCGGTCATGGTCCCCGATGGCCGCGACAAGAAGCCACTCTCTCGCCTCCCTTGTGGAGTGGAGGCGAGGGGGTGGCGCACGTGTTGCGCGTCTCGGCCACTGTGGCGCGATAGGCGCACCGCCCCGCTTTATCTGTATTGGCCATATCCGAGCGACGCCGCGACGCGCGGTAGGGACGAAGGGACGCCAGTACCGGTGGCTATGATACTGCCGCGCGGCGCCAGTTTTCATCGCTCATGTGCCCCCTGTTTAATGGACGCTGTACTCGGTGATGCGAGGTATGAGTTTGTGATGGCGTACATGATTGGTGTTGTGGTGCTTTCACAAACATTCGAGGAGCATCTCGTGTACCTTCCCATCATACTCGAACGGATGTGTCAGGCCGGCCTTACACTGTTAGCAAGTCCCGTGTATTTAGTGAATATTTGGGGTAAAAGACACGCCATTTACAGAAATTACCATACATTTACACGTTGAGTAATGGATAATTCGTTCAAAAATCGTGCGAGGTTCTAACAAACGTGTTTTGGTTCGGTCATACATGCGTTGCCGTGTAGCCGACCTCGAAAACACGCATCACCCCAGGCGACGACCGCAGCATTGCCGGCTATCGATGCACCGGAATGCTTGGGGACACACCTAGAAAGGACCGTCGAGAAAAATGCCGCGGGAAGAAACATCCCAAGCAGCACCAGAAAGTGAATTTCGATCGGCCGACGGTTGGCCAGTGTCTGGACAGCTTGGCCACTTAAAGTGCTTGGCCACCGGAGACATAAACAAGGCCGGCAAGGGTCCGGCCACAAACTAGCTGTTTTTAGCTTGTCCGCCGGAGACATAAACACTGCCGGCAAGCGCCTGGCCAGAAGTGCTCATTTTCAGCTTGGACGACGGAGACATAAACACGGCCGGCAAGTGTTCGGCCAGCAGTGGTGATTTTCAGCTTGGCCGCCGGGGACATAAACACGGTCGGCAAGTGTTTGGCCAGCAGTGGTGATTTTGAGCTTGGCCGCCGGGGACATAGACACGCCCGGCAAGTGTTTGGCCACAAGTGCTGATTTTCAGCTTGGCCGCCGGAGACATAAACACGGCCGGCAAGTGTTTGGCCAGTAGTGCTGGTTTTCAGCTTGGCCGCCGGAAACATAAACACGGCCGGCAAGTGTTTGGCCAGCAGTGCTGATTTTCAGCTTGGCCGCCGGAGACATAAACACGGCCGGCAAGTGTTTGGCCACCTGTGCTGATTTCCACCTTGGCCGCCGGAAACATAAACACGGCCGGCGAGTGTTTGGCCAGAAGTGCTGATTCTCAGCTTGGCCGCCGTGGACATAAACATGGCCGACAAGTGTTCTGCCAAAAGTGCTGATTTTCAGTTTCGCCGCAGGGACACCCATAATCTAAACTTTCATCGCGTTGACGAAGCTTTGTTATAACGACGGGCAGCGAGAGAAGCATCACGAGCGAGTGGTTGGCAGAATATTAGTGCGTGCATCGCGCGAACACTGTTAGCGCAAGCAAACGATCACCGTTTTATTCAGTTTTTTTTTCGTTAGACATGAAAGGCTATTGTCTTAACTAGCACTGTCGTGTGATATGTTCATTTGGAACATTATACTAGAAGTGGGAAAATATTGTGCCCGTCGTTGTTCTATGAAAATAAAATACGAAAGCAGCGCCGACGTCATCTTCGCGTTAACTATACCGCTCTGTCGCCGCGCGGCACTCTTAGTGCGAATGCCACATCCGCGATTTTTCGGTTACCGCTCTACATATTTACTTCCCAACTGCACTCGAAGAAAAAAAAGTTGTAGTCGGGTGCATCGGGCGCAGATGCTCCCCTTTCCTGGAAGACGCACCCACCGTTACCCAGCCAGTGTACCTGTATACCGACCATAAGCCCCCTTCTCTACCTTAAAAACCTATAGGTGTATCCATGCACTCAGCTTAGTAAACCGCCACGCTAGCCATGCACCCCGATCAGCTTGTGCTTGAATCGGATGAGATTGGATATTTCAGACTTTGTGTTTTGGAAGAGCCTAAACAAGACGTCTCTCATATATTGATTAAACTTAAGCTAGTCTCAGTAATGTTTCATATAGGTGCTAGGATACTGATTTCCTGAGCCAAGGAAAGCTAAAAGCTTCGGTTAAAACCGCAACGGAAATGTTATAAATCGAGCCACACGTAAAAGAAAAAGAAAATGAACATCTCGACCTAGATGTGCAGAACGCTGGTTTTGTTGTTAACAACGTGATTGTTGGCGGGTGGTGGGTAAGGCCGTGACGCTATTGACGCTATCGTGGTGATTGACGCCAGTGATGCTCGGCCGTACTACACAGTAAAAGTTTTTACACATTTAAGGGTGTAAAATGGGTGTTGTAGCAACTCACACCCTCGGCTACACCTTTTTAACAACCTAAAACTAGGAATACAACCTCATAATTTTACCGAAAAAGGTGCTGTTTCGTGTTACACCCTACATTTAGTGAAGAATGTGAGAAGGGTGTAGAAGAGGGTGCTAAATAAATAATGTGAAATGGTTTTGGAAAGCTTATATATGGCTCTGTACATAATGTACAGATAAGATTTCTGCTTGAAAAGCAACAGTTGTTAGCAGTCTAGTTTCTTATAATGTCAGTTGTAATTCATGCAAATAGCTGATAATTAAGTGCCTCTTTTGCATACAATTTTTATGTTTGAAAACAAAATTTTATATATGAGTTCATATTTAATTTTCTTACAAATCACTCCATGCTCAGAAATCGGAAAGTAGGGTGAAATGCTCTATACTAGCATTTTTTTACAAATATTGATTGATGGAAGTGTGCAGTAAGAAAATCAGTTAGTCTCGAGTTTATATCTGGCAACATGAAATCAAAATATTGTGAAAATGTTTGACAAATATTCATGACATGCTGCGCTAGAACCTGTCTCATGACCATGTCAACCCGAGTAAAATATTCATTTGAGAATATGGTGACATGCACAAAAACTCACACACATAAAGACGCAAATCCCATAATAAACCAGGCCGAGACATCCCATAAAAAATGGCCTATGGTCGTCTATGGGAAATTCAATGGGAGGCTATCACCCCCTGTAGCTTCGCATGGTCGGCCTTAAAAATTTATAGATACAGCTACAGCCAGCTATAGAAAAGTTTAGGGCCCTGTGTCTAAAGTCTCAGGGCTATGTTTCATTAACAACAACAACAATAATAATAATAATAATCAATAAGTTAGTGTTTTAACAGTGTCCAGGGACATCCGATTGCTCTTGCGGGCGCAGTGCAATAGAACGAACAAACAGACGCTTGCGCGCTCGCAGTCGCACACATACACGCGCGCTCGCAGTCGCACACATACACGCGCGCACGCACGTACACACGCATGCACACGCGCAAACCCACGCCCGCGCGCAGACGCACACGCACGCACAACCGGAAACGCACACGCGCATGCACGTGGACGCATCCACACGCGTGCGCACAAACACAAGCACGCGCCTGCACACACGCACACGCAAACAATTACGACGAAGGAAGCGTTGCTTGAGTTAGTTTCGGTTTCGGTTTACACAAAAAAGAAAAAACCTAAAGTTTAAATAAAACCTAAGATTTACTCACTTTTTGTAATGTTTTGCATTATTATTTTAGTGAAATTCTTATTGTTACTAATATAATTTATTTCGCTTAGTATAGTTCTAAAAAAATAGCAATAAATAAAAAGGAAAAGAGACTCTTGAAGACTGCGCAAGACCATCGCTATCGCAATCAGCTTCCGTTGGGCTCGTTTGAATGGTCGTTGAAGTTCCAGAAGCTTCGGAAATCTCCTTTTTTTTTACGTTTTAGCCGTTTTAGTGGATATTTTAAATATCTTCCTTACGAATACCGTGTTCAAGAATAACAATCGATGACTGAGAGCTGGCAGACGCTGCGTCTTGGCAACGCCCGTAAGTTCAGAACCGCCCATGCACGACTCGTGCAAACGCCGGTTAGCAACTTTCTTTTGTTTCTGCGAAGTGGGCTGCTGTTTCAAACTTTGTCGTGTACCGTGTGCTTGCTAAGCTATGCTTGATTCTAACTATGCTTCTGCCCTGTGTTATTTCGTTATTTGAAAAGGGCGTATCTTCTTCAAAACCTGTGGCTCGCTCCGCAGTGTGAGAAAGATTCCCGCGCGGCGGAACCTTGAGCATGTTCTTTGCGCCGTTGTGCGGCGCTCGTCCGACGACGCTTGTGCGGAGCGTTCAAGTGCCGTCTGACGGCAGTTCAAGCATTCAGTCGCCGTCCCAAAGTGTTAATCACAGGTCATGCTAGTTCTGACATCTTGTCCTAACAACCG